TAGAAATTGGCAACAGGCATGGTGAAGCAACAATCTACGGAAACCTAGGAGCTTTGTTCCAGTCACTTGGCCATTTTGACAAGGCCCGAGAATATCAGGAGAAAGCACTCCCTATCACAATAGAAATTGGCGACAGGCATGGAGAAGCAACAATCTACGGAAACCTAGGAGCTTGTTTCAAATCACTTGGCCATTATGACAAGGCCCGAGAATATCAGGAGAAAGCACTCGCTATCAGAATAGAAATTGGCGACAGGCATGGACAAGCAACAAGCTACGGAAACCTAGGAGCTTTGTTCCAATCACTCCGTCAATATGACAAGGCCCGGGAATGTCAAGAGAAAGCACTCCCCATCACAATAGAAATTGGCAATAGGCATGGAGAAGCAACAATCTACGGAAACCTAGGAGCTTTGTTCCAATCACTTGGTCATTATGACAAGGCCCGAGAATATCAGGAGAAAGCACTCGCTATCAGAATAGAAATTGGCGACAGGGATGGACAAGCAACAAGCTACGGAAACCTAGGAACTTTGTTCCGATCACTTGGTCATTATGACAAGGCCCGAGAATATCAGGAAAGAGCACTCGCTATCAAAATAGAAACTGGCGACAGGCATGGAGAAGCAACAAGCTACGGAAACCTGGGAGCTTTGTTCAAATCACTTGGTCATTTTGACAAGGCCCGAGAATATCAGGAGAAAGCACTCCCTATCACAATAGAAATTGGCGACAGGCATGGAGAAGCAACAATCTACGGAAACCTAGGAGCTTGTTTCAGATCACTTGGCCATTATGACAAGGCCCGAGAATATCAGGAGAAAGCACTCGCTATCAGAATAGAAATTGGCGACAGGCATGGACAAGCAACAAGCTACGGAAACCTAGGAACTTTGTTCCACTCACTCGGTCAATATGACAAGGCCCGGGAATGTCAGGAGAAAGCACTCGCTATCAAAATAGAAATTGGCCACAGGCATGGAGAAGCAACAACCTACGGAAACCTTGGAACTTTGTTCCAATCACTCGGTCAATATGACAAGGCCCGAGAATATCAGGAGAAAGCACTCGCTATCACAATAGAATTTGGCGACAGGGATGGAGAAGCAACAAGCTACGGAGATCTAGGAGCTTTGTTCCAATCACTCGGTCAATATGACAAGGCCCGAGAATGTCAGGAGAGAGCACTCGCTATCAAAATAGATACTGGCGACAGGCATGGAGAAGCAACAATCTACGGAAACCTAGGAACTTTGTTCCAATCACTCGGTCAATATGACAAGGCCCAAGAGTATCAGGAGAAAGCACTCGCTATCAGAATGGAAATTGGCGACAGGGATAGAGAAGCAACAAGCTACGGAAACCTAGGAACTTTGTTTGAATCATTCGGTCAATATAACGAGGCCCTAAAATATCAGGAGAAAGCACTCGCTATCAGCATAGAAATTGGCGACAGGGATGGAGAAGCAACAAGCTACGGTAACCTAGGATTATTGTTCCTATGCCTTGGCCAACGTAGCGAAGCCGAAGAGTGTATGGAAAAAGCACTGCGTATCAAAAAGAAAATTGGTAAAAAAAGAGGAGAGGCGATTAGTTATAGAAACCTCACAGATTTGTTTCTCTCGCTCGGCAAGTATGCAAAGGCTGACGACTATCTAAAGAAGGCAATCACAATTAGAGAGGGTAGCGGTGATAGAAGCGGAGAAGCAGCAGATTACAGCCACCTTGGTACAATCTCTCGTAAGCGTGGTGAATATGACAAGGCTCGAGAGTATTACGAGAAATCCCTTACAATTCAAATGGAAATCGATGAGAGAGAAGGAGCACTAGTCAACTACATCAATTTAGGATTGTGTTTCAAATCGCTTGGTAAATATGACATGGCCGAAGAATACCTTAAGCAGGCTCTCTTATTAAGTAGGGATATTGGACACAACTTGAATGAGTTTCAGTGTCTTTGTCATCTATCGGCGTTAAAGGCGTCACAATGTCATCTTGAAGAGGCTTCTTTGCATCTTCTTCAAGCCATCCAAAAGTTCGACACTTTGAGAGGTTTTCTTAAAGAAAACGATCAGTTACAAATATCTCTTTTAGAAGAGCACGGCACCTTTCCCTACAAGTTCTTCAGTAGGTTGCTTTCTTCCACTAGAAAGTCGCAAGATGCCCTTTACGTCGAAGAGCTGACAAGAGCAAGAGGCCTGGCTGACTTGATGGCAGCTCGGTACTCTGTTCAAGAGCAGATCTCAAGCGACCCGCAATCTTGGTATGGCATTCAAGACATCATCACAAAAGAAGCAGAATGTGCATGCCTGTACATTTCGGTTGGTCAAAATGATGTACGGTTTTGGATAATTAAAGCAAAGGGAGCCATTCAGTTTTTAGAAAAGAAAGTGAAGCTGGACCAAAACAAGGTGACCGGAATAGTCCCTGAGTTAGATGAGTTTTTTAAAGAAGCCTTCCGCAGCCAAGCTATTTTACCCCAACAGAATTGCGAAGATCGATCTTTAGATGACACCGAACTGACGTCACTTCCCGACAAGCGCTCAGTGCTGCGTGACTATGATGCCAAAGATTTCAAAACAAGTCTTGACTTGTGTTACAAGATAATCATCGCTCCTGTAGCCAGTTTACTGAAGCAGCCCGAGATCATAATTGTCCCTGATTCCTGTGTGTACCAAGTGCCATTTACAGCCTTGGCTGACGAAGGAGGCAAGTATTTATCAGAGACATGCAGGATTCGGATAGTTCCCTCTCTGACGACTCTCAAGCTTGTTCAAGACAGTCCTCCAGACTATCACAGTCAGACCGGGGCACTGATAGTGGGTGACCCTGTGGTTGGAGAGGTGATTTACAAGGGAAGGCGCAGAAATATAACAGCATTGCCGTGTGCAAGAAAGGAAGCAGAGATGATTGGAAGACTTCTTGGCGTAACGCCTATGATAGGATATTCTGCGACAAAGCATTTTGTACTTCAAACCATAAATTCAGTGAGCTTGATACACATTGCTGCCCATGGTGATGCCGAAAGAGGGGAGATTGCTCTTTCTCCTAAGCACCCTTCCCCACTCTCACCTTTACCTCGAGAAGGAGATTATCTTTTGACGATGGCGGATATTTCAAAAACTAGGTTGCGAGCTAAACTAGTGGTTCTTAGTTGTTGTCACAGTGCTCGTGGACACATTAGAACCGAGGGAGTTATTGGAATTGCCCGAGCGTTCTTAGGAGCCGGAGCTCGTTCAGTGTTAGCGGCACGATGGGCCCTAGATGACGCACCCACAGAGCAGTTCATGACTTGTTTCTACAGACATTTGTTCCGCGGTGAAAGCGTCAGTGAATCTCTCCATAAGGCCAGGAAGTGGATGAGAAACAACGGTTTTGACAAAGTTTCTCAATGGGCGCCATTTATGATCATGGGCGACAACGTGAAATTTGATTTTGGAAATTGGCCGGTGCCTCGCGTACCTTAAAAGCCATGACTTGGATAAATCCTCTGTAGGAGAATGAACTAGACTCAGTAAAGCTCGGAACTATTTAATTACTAGCCTGTAAAAGAAGGAAAACTCGAATCGATACACAGAGGAAGATATTTCTGTAAAAATTTTCATCAGAGATCTAAGTTTAACAATCTGAAACAAGACAGTGTACAGTATTATCTCTTTATAAGAGTTCCGAAGTCATTAATATAGTGAACAAGCCAAGGTTTCGAACGCGATTAGCTCTTCAAGGAAATTCTTAATCCTTTTCAAAGGTGATTAGTTAGCCAATTTAAGAGACTTTTAAACTAATGTGTGACTTGGAAAAAAAATTTTTCTAAGCTTAAATTTTTGGAAATTTCTTGCAAGGCTTTTGTCAAGAAATATTGTGGTTTAACATCCCTAATTAAACACATTTTAAAAAAGAAGAAGAGATATTTTTGTAAGTAATGCAAACCATTGTATTTTCATAGATACCCCAGTAATTTTATCAATTTAACCTTGTAACCCCAAAGAGTGACTGGCATCTAATTTCTCCTCACAATATCACTCCTGAATCAAACATTAAGGTCACGAGAATAACGGAAATGATCAACAAGTACAGGAGCTCTTGATTGTTCTGCAAAATCTCCTTGTCAGCACCTTAGGAAATGTATATAAAACATTATGGAGAATATGCATACTGACCTTAGGGTGTAAAGGGTTAATCGATACCCTTTGCGTAGGTGCCTTTGTATCCTAACACAGACTCGTATGCTCACACATACTTTTGTAAACTCATTATCCTTCCCTTTCGCTCTGCCGCTACTGTTTCGCTCCGTTTCATCAATTGAACAGTTGGAAAAGGTTACATTAAGGAAAGTTTATGCAGGGGATTGCATTTTGTTGACCGAAACACTCAACAGACTTTTCGTCTGCTACTTTTGTGCCACATATCCGAGTTACAAGACAATAAATATACAATGATAACCGTAAGAATACGACATATATTTGAATACGAAAAAAAATTTGCTTGCGAGAAAAATATTTCATAAGACCGTTGAAATTTATTTGAAAAACACGGATATATAAATATATATATATATATATATATATATAAATGTGGGGGCAGAGTCTACCTTGGCATAAAGTGCTCAATGCTGTGGTAGCAGAGCTGGGTATATATAAGTGAAGGAATCAAAGAGGACGCATCGATTCTCTGTTATTCTAAGTTTCGCGCCTAAGCGCTCGTCAGACAGAACTTTATTCAATGAAGAACATACCTCCTTATATACAAATTAGATGAGTAGCTAATTAATTCACTTGTGTGATGATCTGATCTATGTGTGAAAGAATTTGTTTACTGACTTTTCATGTAGGGTGGTTGGCGAAGTTATGTTTATGGTCTTTTAGGGTAATAAGAAGCCAGCTAGGTCAAGCTCTGTTTCTTTTGATGGCCCGCATGACTTCTCCTCCAGTTCCATGATTCTTCTCCCAATAAATAATTCGGCAGTATCGTACATCGTATCAGAATTATCGAAAAACTCTTTAAATTTCTGGGTCTCCTAGATCTTGTAAAACCAAGTAGGCAAAAAACCGACTGTAATGAAAGAGAAGTTCAATCCTTGCACAATTGAGACTTTATTCAATAAGACCTCGTGCTTACATACTGAACAACATAAACATGGTGGCCTAACAAAAACAAGTCCGCTATCATGTGCGGATTAACAACTCCGCTGACATGTGCGTGGGCACTAAAATACACAGGAAGCCCAGTAATTAAGGATTAAATCGCCACACTGTCACTACACCGACCTCGACCACATTCACCAGAAAATCTCCGACGACTTTTATGAAGGTCTGTGCCCCCTTGTTGATTTCCTCTTCAAGACAGCCAAACCTTTCGTCAAACAACACCTCCGCCACAGATTTAAACGACCACTTGGAAAGTCTATTATCGAGTTCACAAACTTCGTTTTCTTTCTCTGACCCACTAGGCTCTCGAACTGATCGTAATCAGTGAATAAAATCGCCGATAATTTTATTGAAACCCGGAGTAAAGTCGGCGACTTCTTTCGGTCGAAGCATTCTTCTGCTCAGGACGCTCCGTAGCTTGTACCATTCTTCGCCATCGGCAAAAAAAACCACCAGGAATTTTCTTCCTTTTCTCCCGGTAGAAATTTAGAGACGGAAAGTCCAGTCTTTCTGGGTGTTTGGGCTCCGATCAGAGTAACTTTGCAACGTCGGCAGGATCGGATAAACTAATAATCGAAAAGAAAATCGGGCGGGGCCCCTTCCCCGTTATCTTTCGGAGTATAGTGCAGGACAGTGACATGTTACCAGCGGGACATGTTATCTTCGCGCTTTTATCAACTTGGATGCCATAACAATTATATTACTGGGTCGTGCGTGGTACTATTTTTGGTTTTTTTAATTTTCAAACAAACTAGGGTGCAGCACTCTGCGAATGGTTATTTTAAGCAGACAAACAGTGATAGCAGACTTTTAAAAAGTAAAGGCAGAGTCGTGCGAAATGTTTTACAAACTGGACGAGGTGTCGGATTCGCTGCTATCTCTAGTTATCTTCAAAGTTAGCGCCTTCTTTTGAGGAAAAACGCACAGCGCCGACATAAAAAACAAACACAACACAAGGGTACTTAGATAGCAACCGGCAGAAAAGTCTCCGAACAATGCACTGTGGTGTAGGTATGCGTCGGGCTTTCAGGGGGAGTCTCCGGAGGTGTTGTAGGAGCCTTGGCTAGTTTCCTTATTTTTGGTTTTGGTGATGAATCCAAGAGGAATAACAAGAAGAGTTGACTTCAGATTTCATCCTGAGTAGACAAGGAAGTAGTTGTCACAATCAAGTTGCTGGTTTGCCTTACCTCGTCCATATCAACGTAGCTGTGAGATAATCGTCACAGTGAATCATTGGCTGAGCTGGTTTGTAAAGTTGCAAAAGTATATTTCACTTTCCTGCAAATTGATCGTTAAGTGTGCGATTCGTGAATAAATTACACCGCTGAGAGTCAATCACATTGAAAGGATCACCAGTAATTTCAAAATGGATTTAACCAACACTGATTTCACACCAGTGTCGATCTTGCGAGCTTCTAAATTGTTGTTAAATGCTTTTTTTAAACCTTTAATGAATGGTTTTGATTGTCTTTGATTTTAATTAAGAATCTTTTGTATTACCATAATGTTCCTCTCGCTTGCAGTGAAAGGAGTTTTGCGGTTACAGAACAGAAAGTAACCTCCATGCCGGTGTTATAGCAGAAAATTAGTTTAAGTCAACATTGTAGAATTTTTCTGGTGAAATATGATTCTAGTTAGTTGTAACAGTGTTACTGCTGTGTGATCTGCAATTGGCGTTCTGATGGCAGGAAACAAAGCGTATAAAAGCGGACGAACGTAAAAGAATTTCAGAGTCTTTAATTTGTACGTGACCCGTCGAGGGCTCTTCGTTTTTCACCTATTATGCTTTTGTTTTTTATATCTATTTTCTGTTGAAGGAGACCAGAATTGAGATGACTGTTGTCCTGAGAATTTTTCTTAGAAAGTGTTGAAGAAACTAAATTTCAAATAACTTATTTTACAGTGCTTGTCTTATAGGGTATTTATTACTTTTCTTTTATCTTTCCATTAGCTATATGTTCACCCTGTCGTAAAAAACATAAAGCAGATACGAATTCTACATTGTTTGCTCCTGAAGAGGAATGTACAAAAACATATGCTGCTGAAAAAACGGGCACAGTACGGGCTGAGAACTTATAGGTGTTTTATGACAGGACACAACATTCATTATATGTTCACTTTATCTTCTCTGTGAGTAATAAATAAAGTTTTAATTTGATTACAAGGCTAAGACAAAGAAATCCTCCAAAAGTTATGTGTTTTATTGTTACGTGAGCCTATCGGTATAGATATATCAAACAACTGAAACACCTCCTTGGCCATGGCAGGATTGATCACGTCACGGCTTTTAACGCTGGCAGATAGTCCTTTGTGCCCTGGATACTGACACAGCTTTGAAGGCCTCTAGTACTTGCCCATACCATAGCGATGGCGAGCACAAACACTTAATGTTTTCACTTCTTCATGAGACAAACGGTCGAGGCCAGCCCTTTGCAGGATGACCTCGTATTCTTTCAGGTTTGCATGCGAAAAAAGACAATTTTTAGATGTGTAGTTATATCATCTTGACATTCATACAGAAACACTGTCTCCGTGCGACCACGTGAGGATCCGCAGTCCAGGAGACCCTCTTCTGACAAAGTACAGGCATCCACCATTATTACCTGGTTGTTTCTATTGTTACGTCTGCTGACCCCTGTAAGTGCTGACCCGTAACGTCCGTTGGAATGTAACGAAATACATGCAGCCCACCAAAGTACTAAATAGACAATATCTGAGGCTAATTTTCACCTGAATTCATCATCATTCATGGCAATAATACAAAACTGTTTCACTTCAGGATTTCTGGCGGCGGAAGAGTTGTTTTTTACTTATATTCTACGCAGTTGCTTGGATTCCGCCGTAGTTTGGAGAAACGAGTGCTGTCACGCGATAACATTTCCAAGATTCAACTCACCTCAGCAGATGATAAATGTAAATCTTCCTTTCTCTTTTAATACCATATGATTCTATTTAGGATGGTATTTTAACGCCTAGCAAGGTTTAAAGTGACATTTACAACGCTATCCATGGACGTATTGGCAACAGAGAACTGTTTCGCCGAAGTAGCAACATAACGGTAAACACTGCAACTTTGAACGCTTCGTACAAGGTCAATATACTTTGGCTAAAAAATTTATATCCTTCTAATGTCTGATTCATCACTGTAATTGGTTTCAAAAGCGTTGGATTTTGTAGAAATAATTATTTTAAAATCATCTCCAACGTTCCATCTAATTTGACATGCAATACTTGAAAATTTATTTTTCATTCGCTTCTGCAGTTTTTCGATGTTTATCGAATGATATTACATTAAAAGGCCTTTTTCTTCATAACTGCGTAGTTTTCTCATTATTTTGTGTTGCGATAGTAATTTTTGAACCGGTTTTTGAAAGGGCATATTTTGGGACAGATTTTGCTGCTATCAGACGTAACAAGTTTGCGGCTCGATATTTTTGTTTTAAAGCGAAACTGATCGAAGCAAAAGAAATTCATTTTTAAATAGTATCAGGTAACCTCTACTTGGAAGATAAAAATCGGCCGATTTTAATTTTTAGCCAGAGATCATCGCCCGTTTCTTAGGCGCGGAGCCTCTTAAAAAGCCATCACCTCATTGAGACCCTTTACTAATAGTCTTGTTTCATTGGAAAAGGGACGTGAGTAAATACTGATATCGTTATATCAAATCCTGATGACAGTTATTTGTTTTAAACAAGTAGCTTGTGTCAATGAATCTCGTGCAAAAACCTCGTACACGCTTTTAACTACATCTTTTTTCCTTCCGATTAATCTTTTTCCACTTGATCTTGAATGGTTGACCGACGGTCCGACAAAGTATACGTAACGATTTCTCGCCTTACTTCATGATCGATATTCAGGGAAGTAACTTGACTTCGAGCTATTTATCGACGAAATAACTTTTAAATTTTTTTAAATTATCGCCTAAATTTCGAGGTGTTTCCTGTAGCTAGCAAAAAACAAAAACTCAAAGGCAGTCCATCAGAGTATTCCATGAATTAGGGGTCAGTGTTTTGTTAATCACCTGCAAGATCACCTGGGAAAATGCTGCTGTACGTGTAATACACACGCTTGATGATCGAGTATTAGCTTGTGTTTCCTTTTCTCATGAGCTCAAACTTATGATCAATTTTGCGTGTCAAAAGCTGCGCATGTATATGTCTTTGGCAGATAATGTTGGGAAATGCAAGCTTTTCAGAACCGTGTACCGTAAAGCGGTATGTTAATAGAACGTTTATGATCAGAGTGAGACAATTTAGAAATGGTGAAGACACCGTAAGATAGTGATAAAAAAACAAACAGTGTAAACGAAATGCAAATTGTTAATCGTCACGAATATAACTGCAAGTTTAATGAAGCATGTTTAAACACGTGGGAACATTCAAACTCGTAAAATCTTTTACTGGCAAGAAGCCACGTGACTGATACTTGAAATCTACTTTTCTTGGGGAGAAAAACTTTGTGGCCCAACTAACAAACCCATAAATTACAACTGTTTCGCAAACTATGCACCTCCTGCCGCATGTATACAGATGACATGTTCTCCTTTCAGCCATTTACACCTACGTGGCAGTAACTTTGTCCTAGGAAAAAGCAAAGAGAAAAAGGCCAAATTCGAATTAATTAGCACAAAGCATATAGCATTTTGTGCTGTACATTAACGTTACAGCTGTTATGAGGCTCTTTCAGTACGTATTCCTTCAAGAAAGTGAGCCTTTTTTATTGTTAAAACATGCTTTGTTTTGTTTTTTCTAATTTTAAGAATGCTTTCTGCATGCATCTGAGCCTTCTTCGGCGTGGTGATTAGTGGAAAGAAAACCAAAAACAAAACCTTTTCGTACAGTTTTTTTTTTATATACATATTTTGAGAAGACAAACCAGAATATCTAAGAAGTCTTACCATTTTATTAAGGTTAGTGCCTAGTAGTCTTATAATTGGAACATAGTAATATGAAAACATATTGACGTGAAGGGAAGGCATCTAAGGCTACGTAATCTCTTGAATATTGCTGTTACGAAAAATTGTCTAAGTTAAGTCCTAGAACATTTTATAGAAGAGTCTAGAACCCGAAGTCATCCAGCCGTGACCTTCTTGTACATGAACATTCTAGAACGTTCTATTTCTTATGTAATTACTCAGATTTAGAAACCGTGTTAATCTACTTAATTTAGTTCTTTAGAGAAGTTTTTAGATCCTTGGACTTTATGTCTATAAGAGCGATAGTTTCGTCAAAAAAGTGAACTGTATGTGAGTGTGAAGAAGCTTAGTGCTGCAAAGTCGAGAAGTCAACTACGTGGAAATGAATCAGTTTGCTGCTGTTACCGACGATCCTGAGTTTTGTCTAGGAACAACCCCACTCTACATTGACACTCGTAACAATTGCATAGGAAAAAACTCGCGTGGCATGCAGGAAGTTGGAAAAATCGAATAGATTAAATGCCCGGCAGTCAGTCCTGATTGTTGGACTTTTAGTCTATTTGAGACCATGCCCGGCTGACGGGCATTTAGCCACACCGTAAAATTTAAGAAAAAGGATCGCATATTTCGAATGATGAAGAACGCATAACTCGACTATTATTGGCATATTTAGAGGAACACCTGTCCCACTTTGTAAAATGGTCGCACTCTTTAATACCTGTGGCACTCTGCAATAAAATTGTCGCACTTTGTCAGGACAGATCATCATCCTTATCAATAAAAATTATAGTTCCGAAAAATGCCACTCACGTACAACACCTTAGTCACAGCTTGCGAATAATTTTTGCTTGCTTCACACTATGGGTAAAGGTCGAAATTAGATATTATATTTCGTATTTGTATATAAGCAAGCTTTCCTATCCAACTTGTAAAAACTCCCTGAGGTCCGCTATTGTTAGACGAAACTCGTAACAGATTTTAAAAAAAAGTTTTCACTACGTCGGTTCGCCCAGTGCCGCTAAATACTTTATTATTAAATAAAAAAGTTTTAAAAACGAAACCGATTTTTCGAACCGAAATGCATCGGACCACTTTTAGAGAGACTGGTCAATCAGGCGTACTTGCCCTCCGACCAGCGATATATACCAAGTTTATTTTAAAGTGCGACAAATGCCGTTACAAAGTCCGACAGCTTTTTCAATACAAAGCACAGGTGTTGCTGTATTACAAAGTGCCACAGTTATTTATAATTAATAGTGCGGCGATTATTTCAAAGTGCGAAACAATAGAATTCTATGCCAGCTTTGGTGCAGCCACTTGCAAGAAGGAAAAACAAAAAGAAAAGCGGTTTGAAAAGTTTGTAAAAAATATATATATATACGAGAATAATTAAGATATCCTGCTATTGTATTAAGATTAGTGCCAGACTTCATTAATTAGACATAAAAGTTATGAAAACATATTGCTCTGAGATAAAAGTTATCGCGGCTATCTAACATATCAAACAAGAAACAAATCGAGAGACACGCAAGAAGTTGCTTTGTGCGATAAAGTATTCATAACTCGGCTATCGTTGATGTTCAGCACATCCCACTCTAACTTAAAGACATATTACAGCAGAGGTAAATAAGACTGAGTTTGGGTAAGGTAAGTTATCTCTTTACATTTATAGGATCATGTAACAAGTTTCCTTCCTTTATTCGTCTGAGTAAGCTTCTATGACACAACCCTGATATGGCATATAACGTTTCGTCTACTACAAACAATTATTTGGAGACTCCAGTAATTGACAAAAACTATCAACATACTCCCAGGGAATGCAAAGTACTTTCGGTGCGGAAGTTAGAGAAAGTTGGTCTGGTTCGTTCGTAAAAATTGTGACGACAAAGTAAGTTCTAAAGGTTACCAAAGGGGGGAACTGTTTCTAATACCAAAAAGAAGAAAGATTGGCCAACATACACTTGCAGTTCTCGCCTAGTGTGGGTACAGCGAGGTGTGGATTCATGATCACGAGGGGAAGTTTGGAGAGGGCGAGAAAAGCGTAAGAGTCGCTCGAGACGCAGCTGAGAACAATGTTAGCTGCTTTAGTGCTCTATGACGTAACTGACACAATTTGTGCACGAAAAAAGCGTTTTATCCTAAATTTCGGTTTTATCAGATATTATCTTGTTATCCGAAAAGTGTGCCACAAATAAAATGCAAGACAAAATGATTTAGAAATATTTCTAGACCAATTCGTTATTCAGACAAGAGCTAATTGATAGAAGAGAGAAGCTAGAGTTAATTATTCACTGACTCTATATTCTGGTATTTTTCGAGCTTTGTTAAGGCTATTTTCATGGCCAACCTGGTGAAGGTATTTCGCATTTCCATCCAACACCTGCTTAGACAGTGCGAAGTAAAATCTTTGTCCGGTACAATAGAACGGCCGTAGTCCTTGTTCTTAAAAGTGGTTTACTGATAATCATGATTTTAAGACTTAAATTTCTGGGTCATACTCCACTTTATATTTGTTTCTGCGTAAAACCGCTCGAGCACACTGTTCAGCCGGCTCTTAGTGTTCGATTTTTATACGTAACAACATGATTTTGAGTGCAATTTGATGTTGATAAGCACGAGTAAATGGATATTACTAAAAGCGGTAATGGAGAACGAGGAATAGGAAATGGGAAAGGGAATGGCAGACCTTATTTAATTTCAAGATGGAAGGTAAAAGTTATATTTTTATATCAGTGTTTTTGATACATAACACTTTTGCTAAAAAGAGATTTAAAGTCACTTCCGAAAATTAAAGAAAAAACATCTAACGCTCCGTGTGATGAAGAATTCATAACTTGACTATCATTGGTGTTTAGGAGCAGCACCTGTCGACATTTAGTACAACAACTTTAGGAGACATACTCCTGCTGAGGTAAATTGAGGCCAAAATTCGATATTTCTACTCCATCTATAAGACCATCTTAAAAGTTTCATTTGTTCATGTCTTTGGGTGAGCTTTGCATAGCAAAACCTCGTTGTGGCATATTAAACTTTGTTTTTTACGGATTTTTGTTTGGAGACTCTAGAAATTAAGAAAAATTAATAATAAATAAACTATCATCGAACTTAACGAAAATTGAAAACCTCGGAATGAACGGTGCTGTCAGTACAAAAGTAAAGAAAACCAATATCTGAAATCAAAACTCTTCGGCTGTTTTAAATTACAACAACGACCAAACGCTAACAATTGCAAATGAGAAAATCATCGAAAAAAATAAACAAGTACGGTAGATAATTTTTGTTTTCACCTTTCAACGCGACCCAATGAAATAACCGGAAACGATAATCATTTTTCGATGAAATAATTTTTGCCGACTGATTTTATGGGACCTGAACTGTGTCTCGGTTCATGAAAAAGCAGAAGAAGAACTCAGCCAACATCTAGCTTTCTTTACTCCACGCTTGTTTCAATAACGCATATTAAGTGCAGTGTCACCTCTTACTGCTGTCGATGATTAGGTTTTCGTAACTTAATTGAACGGAACACGTTCATTCGTTTAATATTAATACGTTCAACTGGTGGAGGCCAAAGGAAACTACAACAAAACCTTTTTGGATTGACTTCTCCTTCTAAGGTGTAAATTGAGGTATTAATTTGACTGAAAATCCATATACAACTTAATCTTAGTATTGTCAGCTGTGTTGATCGGTATTTAATCTGTGAGCAGCAATTGGCACCTACATTCACCTCAGAATGAATCCAAAGCTCTGGCTGGCAACCGTGTTTGTGATGTCCCAGATTGGTATACTCAACGCTAACAGGCAGTGTCATGTAATCGAAAGCTCCATTGGTGGAATGAGCCTGAGAGGTCACGTGTTTAAAATGTATCGCGATCAGTTGCCTGACGAGTGTTTTCACCTGTGTGAGGAAGAAGTCACGTGTCAGAGTTACAATGTCGTCATTGGTCAAAACATCTGTGAATTGAACAATCGTACAAAGGAAGCACGGCCGGAAGATTTTATGCCGGATCAGAGGAGATTTTACATGAAGCGTTCTAGAAACAGAGGTACCCTTTACGTTCCCTCGACTAACTTTTTGCATTTGCGTTTCTGGGAAAACTTGTTTTTTAAATTTTTCATTCATGATTACAGAAAACTCAGATTTCAGAGAAACAAAATTCATATATTTAGATATATTCCTATGGCGAGCCTTTTGATGATTCAATTTCGGGGATTGTTTCAATATTGGTAAAGTATTTCAAAATACAGAGACAAGTCAAAATTAAAGAAACCACGTTTTGGAATCATCGTCTCATCAACGTCATCTTGGGAAGATAATATTTGACTGAATTATGAAGTCAAGCAACTCTTTTCCTTAGTCACTTAGAAAATGGTTTGACGATGATACGGAAATGTTGGCTTGTTTCGCTGCGTAATTGTTGCTGTCTTCCATCTCATTTCTTAGTCTAGATCTGATAGAATTAGCAAAGTTTTTATTTCTTTCTGCTTTCACGCAGGCAGGAAAAGGTAGGAGGTTTTTTCCTCTCCTGTCGAATCAGGAGGTATCGAACTGCATGATGGTGTAGATTCTTGCATGAAATTTGTTTTTTTCTGACGTAGTTCCCCTCGGATCCATCAAAGAACTTCCGGCGAAAACCTGTGGTGAGATTGAAGCGAGTGAAGGGAACCAGATGGCTGACGGGAAATACTGGATTTACTCTGAAGAGAATAGCGAGGTCATCGAGGCCCATTGTAAAGGTAAATTGTCTGATTAAATTAGTGGACTAATTCATCACCCCACTGCCTGCTTAACGCGTTCTCCTACTCCGACTTCTTTTTTAAACTTACCAAAATAATATCTCGTCGCAGTGTTTCTGCAAAAAAGGGTAATTATAGAGATGAAAGGTTTCTTTTCAGTAATTCAAATAGAACTATAAACTCCGAGAAGAAGATTAGACAATGACATGAATTGTTCTTTCCCTTATACAAAATTGTTTTAATGACGAATGGGAATAGATTAAAACAACTATCCAGATCACGACACCGAAAAAGATAATGGTTTACCTTTTTTATTACTGGAATTTATCCTGCAAATGGCTGTTAGCCTAATACCATTCGAAAATGCATTGGGTGATTTAAATACAGTTTAATTAACTTTCAAAACTATCTAGCTATCTTATTACTATAACTTAGAGAGCTGGCAGAAGATAAATGGTGAAGAACCCGTCTGCTTTGGAACCAAAAATAATCAGTATGGTTCCTTCAACATGAAAAAGAGTGGACGAGTGAAAACAATGAAGCTTATTCACAGGTCAGGGTCGGTGCACTGCAACGATAAATCTATCTTATCCTACTGGGGCTGCATCAACCCAAGATATGGAGAAAATTTGATGACAATCATCACAGATACCAATAAGAAGACCATTCTGCCCCCTGCCGAAGACTTGAAAGCTTTACCTTCAGGTGCTTTTGGAAACAAACCACACTTTTACAGTCTTCCTGGATATTACCGTACCATATCTGCAACCAGGAGATGCAGATATGGTACGGACAGGATTGGGTGGACGGCGGAGAGGAAGACAACAGCGGTGAAACTTGTGTTGATGTGTATGCATGGTATGAGTGAGTCTACCCATTGTCCTCAGTTGCCTTCGATAACTTTAAACGTAGAAGTAAAACATTAGATTAGAAACGAACGCCATTTATGTACAAGGTTCCGGGTAACATTTTTAGGAAGACAAACCTGTTTCAATGTTTAAGGACTGCTATGTCTTCGTTCTATTCTCGACAGAAAAGAGAAAGACCGTAGGGATCAGAATGGTTTTTATTGTAATATCGCTCAAGATCACAGAGGAAAGCGTGATATTTTCAGTCGATTAGTTTTGCCTAGTTTTGCTCAGCCTGGTACATCTTACTAAGTAGTATAGTATTCATAGTCGCGTGAAATTTTAACTGTATGAGAAGTTTTATAATCAATAAATTTGCGCATGTAAGTGGTTGTCAGGCTCCTGTGGTTATTTATAGTGGGTTTCGTACTCAAGCCCGATATCAAAAAAGTAAAAAATGGAAGCGAAATAAAACTAAACAATTCCGGAAGGCAAAAGAAAGGAAAGAACGCAAAACAAAAACGAACACCTCCCAAAAGTCTATTTTTTATCATAACATCGTAGACCTGTGATCCTTCCTAAAAACTCCCTCAAATTCTTTGATAATCGACGCCAGGGAAAAACTTCAACCGAGGGCCCTTGACTAGTTCTATCCGAATTTTTTTTTTTTAGTGAAATTATGTTTTTTTTTTTCAAAAAATATCCATAAGGAAAAATTATCTATGTATACATTTTAATTAAAGTATAGGGCTGAGTAGAGTTTCAATCAGTCTGTAACTATACGAGTGAACAACAAAATCTGACAATCGCGAAGCTGGAGTAAGAGATGTTAATCACAAACAGAATATGCGATCCAATTTCCTGTTACCAATTCATGAAGACTATCAAATGCTCATCGGTGACACCCATTCAAAACTGACAATTTAACAACAATATACCATCTTTGAATGAACTTGACGCTCCTCAAATTTGTTATAGCTTTGATTACACACAGAATGCGAGGACACAATTGCGTTACCACTTAACTTAACTCGAACAAATAAGAAACAAAGGATCGACATCATGGAAAAATCAACGGATACTTGAAAAGGTAATTTAGGATTATCAAACTGAGTTGATAACTGACTGTGAATATATGCATATAAACACGAAAACAACCCACAATTCCTCCAATCGCTCTGGCACGTGGTTAACGCCCGAAACGTCAGTATTTAAACTCTTCACAGTGGCCGATTTACGTTATCAACTTAGTTGATAATACTAAATTACCCTGTTATACTCTACCTACTTGAAAGATCTGGTTCCAGTTGTCAGGGTTGGATAACGAGATCCCGCAGTCAGTAAAAATCCCGGTGGATGGTGCAGTACGTTTTGCTATCGCTTATCTGCTGGAAAGCAATTTATCAGTTACATTGCATATCTAGACCCAAAACGTTGACAATTCACGAAAATAGATTGGCATGATGATCTGGCGAGGTGTTACCGTTGCCCGTGACAAAATCTTGACCGCCCTGCAGGATTTATCGCTGTGCGCGTGCTTTATTGGAAAAAAAATATTGCTAATATATTTAGCCCCTCTGTGTGAATTTTATGTTCCTTTTTGGTCAGAAAGCTAAATTCGATGATAATTGACCACCACGCTGACTCAATATTCGTTGAACAGGAAAGCTGTAATTTTCCAGGGTTGCTTCACTAGCTTCATTTGGATAATATTGCTCTCCTCTTTAGATTGATAACAACTCTCAAATGGAAATGATGCAAACTTTACATCTCAATTGCGTTGTGAAACTCATCGGATTGTGCGAGTTAACCCTTTAACTCCCATCAGTGACCAAGATAGAATTTCTCCTTACAATATCAATACGATATCAACTAGATAAGTGATGAGAATAAAGAAAAATATTAATTTGGGAATAATTAGTTGATCCAATACTAAATTCTTTGAACTAACATTACAAGAATTGTACGGTTGACTGAAAGGAGAGTTACAAATTTGATCTGGGAATTAAAAGGGTTAAGGAAGAGATGCGTCAGGAATACCATTCCATCAGTTCCTCTAGGGTTTAAGTTGAAGGAAAACAAGTTAGAAACTTCGCAACAAACTTCTAACCATCAGCGTGACAGACAGTACTAATTTACGTGGTCAATCATCAGCTACTCGCAGTCGTCTACTGTCGACGTTTTGAAGTATGCCATTTAGACATCCTTTTGAACCAGGCGGGAGGGGTGACTCCGTTGTTCTCCTGTATGCGCCGCCGTCGAGACACCACTGCCAGTATGACAACTACAATAGAAGCGCCTCGCAAAGTTTGCTCAGCTTAGCGTGAGGACAGTAACAGTAGTTAACAAAGGCAAGGCCATCGCAGGCTCCTAGTGGATTATTATTGACTAATTTGCCATGAGTGTGAAAGCTTTGTTGTTTATATTGTTAGGAGTTGAACTTTGTATTGTCTTGTGGAAGTTTTTGTTTGTAATTTCACTGAATAGTATCAGCCTAGGATCTCATACGCAGAGGTGGTCTCTTTGAACGAAGCCACAAGGCCTCTCTCCTTCTTTAAGCTTTTCACTTAGGCTTTGGCTTTAACGTTGTGTTTTACCATTTATACTGAGGGTGCAAACATCACCTCGCCCACGCCTGCATCAGTATCAACAAAAACAACAAAAGTCGTGACAGTCACAACCCCATCAGTAACCAATTCAAGTTCAGAACCTGCTTCAAAGACTATCCATGTAAGCTCTACTAAAGCGTATGCGTTAAGGCCACAAGATCCTTCTCCATCCAATTCCCTTACAACATACACAATGGAGCACAACGCTTCCCCCCCCCCTCCCCCTTTACGAAAGCCTGACAATGGTAATCAAGTATGTTCCTCAGTGAATGAAGCATTTTTTTCCTATAGACCCCCAACTAAGGGTCATGTTGCACACCCCCACGGTCACGAATAGCCTTTGGGTACTCATACTTTGCCAGATGAAGTCCATTTGAAGGATCATGACATCGTGTATCAAGTCCTCGAAAAAAAGTCTGCGCCTAATTGAATCAGAGCGCTATCACTTGTAACAAAGTGGAGAAATATGTGAGAAGCTAGGAAAAGTTACGGCCCACTGTAGAGTGTTATTTGAAAATGAGAAATAGCCAGCCAACTTAAGACATGGGCAATAGAACATTGAACCTAAGAAAAAGCAGAAAATTGTGAAAAATTTTTTTTATCACTGAAAACCAAAACCACAAGTTAATGATCTTTCCTGCAATCTGTTTTCAGTAGACCTTCGTAAGGAGTGACATTATCGTAATGTATTATAACTAATGTCAAGTCGGGTACATGTAGAACAGTATTTTGACGTAATTAGCATTATGTTAGTCGTTTTTGATGTGTTTCGTAGTTTCATTTCGGAATAAGATTATTTCATACCAGAAACCCTGTCGTCTAATTTTCTGATTAATACATTAATGAATGTAACCGAGGAAGTTAAAATTCATATACCCAACGTTTCGACACTCATGTCTAGTGCCTTCATCAGGGGTGATCTAGACGCTGCAACAAGAGGTCCTTTTATATGATAACTAATTAGCGGCCTCTTTTCTGACGAGGTGTAAATAGGCGTTAGGAAGCAAACCGCCATCGTCACGATTTAAAGGAGCGTAGGCGGAGTTAATATGCCAAGCCTCTAAACAAAGGCGCTGGTTGTAACGCCGATTAGTGGTGATAATTTTAGAATTATCCCACCCAATTGTTAGTTAGGCATGTATACTCCGATAAAGCTAAATTTTCCTTTTTGCAAAAGAAAACCGCTTTTTGGTGCTCTTTTAACCGTGTACCAAACTGACGTTTGGTCTGTCCGATGTATTCGTTGTCACAGTCATTGCAAGGAATAGAATAAATGGCGTCGGTTGTTCTTTCGTGACAGAATATCACGACAAAGCTTTGTCTCTGCTTAATGATAAGAGTACGTATACTGTCTTAAACTCTGATCCTACCGGTAAAACTCAAAGAAAGTTAAACAAAATGTTGCTTGATTTGAAAAAAGCTGGTAAAATTAGTGACTCTACGTACAAAATGTTATACAGTAGTGACGGCTTATGTCCACGTTTTTATGGCTTACCGAAAATTCATAAACCGGGAATTCCTTTGAGACCCATTGTCTCTTTTGTTAATTCTCCGACTTATGCAATTTCTGGTTATCTTGCGAGAATTTTGTCGCCTGTTGTTGGGAATACTGATTATACTGTCAAAAATTCCTGCGAATTTGCGGATTTCATAAGAGATAACACTCTTAACGCTTGTGAAGGATTAGTATCTTTCGACGTTGTTTCGCTCTTCACTAAAATCCCAGTTGATCTTGCCGTTAAGGTTGCTGAGGAGAGACTCAGAGAAGATGCTTCCCAGGGACAAAGAACTTCTTTGCCTGTGGAGGATATTATTCATCTGCTGTCTTTTTGCCTCAAAACCACGAAATTTACATATAACGGCACCTACAATCAACAAGTTTTTGGTACAGCGATGGGTTCGCCCGTCTTTGCTGTCATTGCTAACATGGTAATGGAAGACGTGGAACAAAGGGCCTCAGCCACTTCACCGGTTAAACCCTTTTTCTGGAAACGGTATGTCGATGATGTTATTTCTGCGGTATCCGGAAATGAAGCGGAGCGCCTCTTGTCGCATTTGAATTCAGTAGAGCCGTCGATCCAATTCGCCATTGAGCGTCAAAAGGATAGACATTTGCCCTTTCTTGATTTAAATGTGTCCAGAGGGGTTCAGGGAAATTTAGAGACAAGTGTTTACAGTAAACCTACTCACACCGACAAATACCTCGCCTTCGATTCTCACCACCCTATTTGCCATAAAAAGTCTGTAGCCAAAACTTTACTTAGGAGGGCTGACCGTCTACCATCTTCACTTGATGACTATACTTGGCACTAGACAGGAGTGTCGAAACTTTGGGTCTACAACAACAAAATAGGTACAAATCGTTAGAATATAAGGGGAGCCTGATCAAACCAGAAAAGAAGA